ACCCTAATTCCTTTTTTTCCTCCCATCCAAATACACAATCTGCTTTCTTCCCTGAGCTATAATTGTGCTGTCCTTTGCCTTTTCAGACTATCATGCTAATTGGGTTGGAACAGAGGCTTTCATTACCAAAAGCAACAGCTCGCAAACAGAGTGGCACCAATTATTTCTCTACCAAATGCAGGATTATTTAATCCAAGGCTGGATTTTGAAGCCAGCAGTGCAGGGGGATGGGTATGAGCCACTATCCCAGCTATAGGGGCACAGGGATGATGATGATTATCTGGGAGAGGGGCATCAGCAGGGCACTGCCTGCTTTTCAGGTAGGATTTTGGTGGACGAGGAGGTGTCAGATCTGATAAAAAGGTGACCTACTGCAGGAACCAGCCAATGCTGGGATTTCCTGAGTCTGAGGTTTAGCCTGGTCGAAGCTGTGTGAATCCATCATGGAAAATGAGAGAACCTGGAATTGCAATGGTCGTTGATAACGAGAGAGCTAGGGGTGATATTAATCTTCCTGCTTTCAAGGTTAAGCTTAATTAACCTCTCACTATTAGACACCAGGATGAAGCTTCACAGGAGGGACAGAAAACCTGAGGGGTTGCTGGTTTCCATCCCTTAGAGCCATGGGGATTTTTTCCAGCCCAACTTGCCCAGTCAGCCCAGCAGCATTCGGGATCTCTGTCTTCCCTTCCTGAGCTGGGACTGAAGGATGCAGATGGTGAAGGTCACCAATGAACAGAGTAAAAGCAAAATTTCCTAGGGGGGAGAACTGGGGCTGCCACCACCTCTCCAGGTTGCCATAGCCAAGTAGAAGCTGCAGAGCAGATGCAGTAAAATATGCCTGGTCCAGGGGAAATACTGCTCTAAGCTGTTGTAGGATATTAGGGCTGTACAAAGCCAGGCTGTGCAACAGGGACAGAAACCTCTGGGCTGCGCGGAGCCTGCAGAGCAAGACCTTTACTAATCCCTGACCTCTGTGCAGCTAATGCAGGAGATTAAGGGAGCCAGGACAGATGCTCCGCTCCAGCAGAAACACCCGACTTGGCTGCTGCGCCACATGTCAGGTTTTGTCCTCCTGGAGAGCTGCTTTTTGAAGACAAGGAAAGGGAGAAAGCAGCAAGGAATCATCTCTGATTAATCAAATAAGAGCACACATGTCCATGGGGATCAGATCAGCCCTGCACGGGAACATGAGCGCCATCGGGCCAGATTAAGGCCCTGTTCATCTCCTTCAGCATCTTGCACTGATACTGACCATCCTCAGATGTTTCTGGGGAAGGTGTAAGAAAGTCTGGGAGCAGACCTGCTCTCCTCTCCCCCAGTGTTTTCTCTCCTCTGCCTCTCTGTCCTATTCCTCTGTCATGCAAAGGGGTCTGTGATGGATGCTCTGGGCTGTGGGATGGGCTCTGTGTGCTGGAGGGTTTCTTTCTTTTATTTTGAGTTTGTTGTTTGTTTTTTTTTTTTTCAGCACTGTTGCATCTGGCAGAAAATGCTGCATTTGTGGCTGAGGTTGCAATGTGACCCACGACACCTTGCCAAAAGGCACCAGGGACATGGTGTGGACAGGGGGCTCTGAGGCCTGGGCTGTGCCCTGGGCTGTGCTGCTCACTCCTGGGGACACCACATGTCCCAGCCTCTTGTCCAGCAGCATGTCCAGCCTTAGAAACCCCCCGGCCAGCTCAGGGAGGGGGCCAGGCAGTGGCTGGAAACATTTTGCAGCATTTCGTTGGTATTTAAAGTTGTTGCCTCGCAGCTCATACTCATCAGGTTAAATCACTTTGCATCCTTCTCCTGGTACTAAATCCTCTGGAGGCAGAGCCACAGCTCTTGCTCTGTCCCCAGTCACATCCCAGAGGACACAGGACATGGGTTCTTCCAAGTCTTTCCCTCCAGCAAAGGCAAATGTTGGGTGAAGGCCAGAAGTGGTCAGCTGGGAATAGGCACTGGGGACTCCACACATATCCCTGCCTCAGTGGATAACTTCAACACCTTCCTAACCTTAGGGCATGACCTTGTCTTCACCTGCCCCTGTTCTCACTTTATTTCCCTCCTTAACATGTGGATCCTGTTGCTCTTTGCAGGACGAAGGGCTGGTGCCCACCACGCTGCTGCAGGCACGTCCTGTGTTGAGCCTCCATGAGCGCAGCTCTGCTGTGGAGATGCCCATTTTTATTTTGCTCTAGAAATAAGATCCATCTTTTTCTTAGATCTGCAAGGCTAATTGAGTGGAGGAATTGATTAACATGGGCATGAAAAATTTCTTATCTCTTTAAATCCATAAATGACTTGCACTTGTGTAGTTATGAAATCCCTGTAAATCCCTGAGATGTGTTCTGCCATAGAGCAGAGATGCTCGTGGGGTCCCTTCCCTTGAGGAACACCAAATCCAGGCAGTGGTGCCCCATTGCCTGCTGCCTCTTCAGAAGGAAGCTGCTATTTTTGTCTCAGGTGACTCCATGTTGCTCTAACCGGCAGGACTTTTCCCCGACCATAGCGCTGGAGACCATGGAAGTAGCTGGTGTTTTTCTGGAGATGGGGCTGATGTAGGTACATCTCGGCTCACCAGTGCTGGAGAGTGGGCACCAGCATTTCCCCAGGTCCCCCATGGCACTGTTCATCCTTGTCACACCATTACCCACTGACCTGAAATGCCCAGGACTGAGGATCACAGAACCATAGAACGGTTTGGGTTGGAAGGGACCTTAAAGATCATCCAGTTCCAACCCCCCTGCCATGGGCAGGGACATCTTTCACTAGATCAGGTTGCCCAAAGCCCTGTCCCACCTCTCCTTGAACACTTGGCATTGCTTGAGAGAAATGAGATACACTTGGTGATAGGAAACTTGTCACGGCAAAAGACCATGGGGCCAGGCATCTAATACGATGTATTTTAAGGGACTTTATGTATTTTAAGGTATGTATTTAATATTTTAATAATGTAGTTTAAACTGTGCAAAATTTCTGATCTCCAGGAGGAAATATGATGAGGGGCACCGTCCCCTGATGCATTCAAACATCTCTGATGTTTAAACTTTGCCTTTTGCCATGAAGCTCAGCACCCCTCACCGACATGCGTGTGTGCAGTCACACAGAGTATTACAGGCACCAAGCACTCCCGTTTCAAGCCAGGCTTTGGGAGACTGTGTGTATTTGTGACGAATTCTGGGCCATTAGCAATTGCTTCTTTTTTATTTTTTTTTTTCCAGCAGGATATTATCAGCAGCCTAAGTGGATGCTTTTTATTTTTTTTTTTTCTTTTTTAATGTATCCTTTGTGGGCAGAACCACGTAGTGAGCAATCTGTGCGCTCCAAACAAGATAATGCGATGATACGGTAGACCCCCTGCTTGGCTGGAGATTGCTAGATAATATATGGTATTCTGGTGAGATAATAACCCGAAATGGAGTGAGTATTTCTCCCTGCAGCGTTTACATCAAATACTTAAGGTAGCCCTTTTGTGGACAGAGAAGTCAGAGGTGGTATCATCTGACTGGAGAACAGAAAATACTTAAAAAGGGGGACAGAAAGAGCTAGTCGTGGAGATGATTTTATTTTCTTGAGCTTGCAAGGCTGGGAGGCTGTGGGATGAAAGGGGCTGGAAGGAATAATTGGAGTTAGAAAGTGTGGGCAGCAAGCTCGCTGCTGGGTGAGTTAATGAGCTATATGAAAATTAAATCCCTGGCCCGAGAACCCTGTATGAAGATTCTCTCCCATGTGTTTTTTCTCACTGGCTGTCAGCAGGCACTAGAAGACGGGATGCATGGTGGCACGGGTTTTGCAATAAATGATGCCAGGCCAAATCTTTGTTGCCCGATTTCTTTCTTCGAAAGGGAGCAGGCTTTCTAGGCAAGGTTAAATCAGAGGCTGTGGTCTGCTTGCCTTCCTGAAAGCATCAGCTGTGTGCTGAGAGGAGATTACAGCCGGAGTTTAAGGGTCAGTGTTGTTATTGTGGGCTGGGGAAGGACTACAAAAGCAAGGGGGTGGGTTAGAGGTGATATAAAACAGGGCAAAATGTCATATTGCAAAGGTTTGGCTCATGAATTTGGGAGATGAAGCAGATTTTCCACTAAACTGGGGGCTCGTGAGCGCGCATTACAAGGGGGAGAAAGACTGTTGGTGCTTTTGCTATGTGCAACTTATATACAAAGCTGCTGGGGAAAAGGAAAATGTGACCCTGAAGTGTAATAAGCAAAATAGAGATGAGGAAATATCTAAGCACCCTGCAAAATGCCTAGGGAATCTCTTTGGGAGAGTGCCACAGAGTTCTGGTCTTTGCCCCAGAAAGGCTGAGTTTAAATTGCAGCAGGTGCAGCAAAGGGTCGCTTGGAAAGGCAGAGGAAAAGGGACCTATTTTAGGCAAGGATATGAAAAATATCATCTGTGTTTGGCCAAGGAGGTTGGGAGAGGACGTGATGCCTGTCTATAAATACAGTGGGAATGTAAACACCAGGGAGGGAAGCAAACTGATTTAACTCTAAGGGCGATGTCAGCAGAAAAACAAATCGCTCTGAACTGGGCAGGAATAAATCTAAGAGGAGATCTGCACACAGTTATAGAATCCTGGGACGGCTGGGGCTAATAGGATTGTTGGGGGTGAAAGACCTCAAAACTAATTTTAAGGCAGAGCTTGTTAAATTGATGAAAGATCTGACAGGGCTGTTTGTGCCTGCAGCAAACCGGGGGGCTGAGCTGGGAAATCCCTTTGGGTACGTGTTACTGTGAGCTCCCTGACTTGCATCCACAGCGCCCCGGTGACCCTGAGCTTATGGTAATATTAGTAGTGACTATTAATAGCACCACATGACTTTTTGTTTTTTTTTCTTCATGCTTATCCCATGCTATTTAAAAAAAAAAAAAAATGGAATCTCTGAAAACGCCTCCTTGCACCAGGCTGGATGGATATCAGGATTAGCACGGGGGCTTGGCAGCAAGGTCCCTTCTATAGGTCCAAAGGAGAGGCAGCAATGCAAAGGCACCTGTAAATGAGCTCACGTGGGTCCTGTGCTGATGAGCAGAGCAATAGCAGAGCAATAGTTATGAGTCCCTGAGTGCTCAGCAGAGTTAATGAGCCTGTGCACAGGTTGGGTGAGTGCTGTGCCCGAGCCGGCTCCTTTCAGCTGGGCTGGGGAGCTGAGCCGTGCCCCGGTGATGCTGAAAGGTCCCAGGGCTGTTTTGAGGAGTACGCAGAGGATGATAAAACCAGCGCGGCTTCAACTGGTGAGGCAGGCACGGACTGGAGGATTTGGTGGGGTCTGAGCGTTTCAAAAGTGGGGCAAGTAGTGCTGCAGGCTGCGTGGTGCTGCGTCCCGGGGACAGGGGAGGCAGCGGGAGCTTGGAGTGGCTGGGATGAAGGATGCTCGTGGTGGGGGATGCTCAGCTCTGCCTGAGAGAAGGATGCGCGGGGGAATGTGGGCACAGCAAAACCGCTCCGAGCTGCTGTGTACTGCTCCTCTTATGGGAACCACGATATTGCATTAATGCTTTCTAAATCAGCAGCCCAGAAATAAGCAAAATTGACTTTTTTCCCCCCCCCAGTTAGCTTGAATATTTCCTCCAGACAGATGAATCGTAAAGTCCTCTTGGTGCCTTTTGGGATAGGCCCTTGCAGGGAGGTTTGCGGGCTGCCAGCCAGACTTGGGATTTTGGAAAGGGTCATGCGAGGGAAGCGGGAGAGGCTTCCCTGGGGGAAAAGGTGTTTCTTCTGCAGTAGGAACAGACCTAGGAATGATTTCCCTATTTTTTTCCCCTAGGCATTTCAGTTTTGTTAACTGGACGAAGCTTGCAGATCTGTTAATTCGTTGGACTGGAATATGCTTAACCTCGTGATGAGGTTGTTTGGATAAAGCATTTGGGAGCCTCTGCTCTCTGGACACAAAGGGGTTTGCTAAAGCTCGTGCAGGGTCACAGTGACCTAATTATGAATTAAGGGAAATGCTGGTTTTGTAAATGGGCTGGGTTTCAGATAAAGGAAGAAGGCACCTGGAATGTGCTGTCAGATGTAGGGTATAACATTAAATGAGCATGTAAATTAGATGGCTCTCATTATAAAAGGGCAAGCTTGATGAACAGTTCCTGAGAGCTTTCTCAGAATGATGCCTTTGACTTCTGTCGCTCGTCTTATTAGGGCAGTATAAGGAGGCCGGGCGGGCGGGAGGAATAATGAACTGCTGATAACGCTGTGCCTTGGAAGAGCACGGCTTTGATGCTGGCAATAAGGAGCGATCATTTCGCCTCCGAGCCCAGCACCAGTAAATCTGTGCATCATCTCAAAGTTTAGTGTGGCTGCTTGGGAACACAGCAAAAGCACCATGCGGCCCTGGGGAGCTGAGGTTTGTTTGAAAGTGAAGGTCAATGCTGGAGGTTTTTGGCAGGTCTCATGTCTAGCGTCCGGCTGGGGCTGGCATGGGCAGGTGAGTCTCTCCTGGGTGTATTTAGAGTCCAGCCCAAGGTTGTATTGCAAGTTCCTCCCAGCATCTCCCAGAATTCTCCCCAGGAGCACCAGGGCTGCCACCAGCCATGGTGGAAAACAAGTCAAGAGTTATCTTCCCGCACTTGCCCAAGTCCTTGGGAGGAAGCAGTGCTGGGTTTTTTTCCTGCCTAAAATAATCTTGACTAGTAAACCTCAAGCCTTAAACTTTCTCAGCCTGGTGATATCACTTCAGAGGCATAAAATGATTCTCCTTGAACTTTCTACTTGCTGGAAAAACCCGTGTTTCAGCTCAGCCTGTGCGTGCTGGCTGTGTGCTCCAGCCCAGCCAAGCGCAAAGGCTCTGGGGATGTAAGCAAAATCACATTTGTCTCTTCTGAACACCAGTGGTTGGAGGATCAGAGATGTCCATCACATTTAGAACCAGGTTAGAGCAATTTTCACGTGCATAGGACAGATTTTGCTGAATAAGATGTTTTTTGTTACCAGTCCTGCAACTGAAAATGAAAAGCCTGCTTCTCATCAGCTGCACTCCTGACTTTGGTGGTCACCTCCTTTGGTTTATTGGAAATACACTAACAGACACAGGGAGAGCCGTGGGGGTTAGTGGAGTGGGCCTGTCTTTATGGGATCTATGCTGGATCCCCCAGGTGATTTCCTGAACTCCCCTGCTCTTGTAGAATCATGGAATGCTTTGGGTTGGAAGGGACCTTGAGGATCATTTAGTTCCAACCCCCCTGCCCCGGGCAGGGCCACCTTCCACCAGCCCAGGTTGCCCAAAGCCCCGTCCAACCTGGCCTTGAACACTGCCAGGGAGGGGGCAGCCACAGCTTCTCTGGGCAGCCTGTGCCAGGGCCTCACCCCCTCACAGGGAGGAATTTCTTCCTTACATCTCATCTAAATCTCCCCTCTGTCAGTTTAAAGCCATTACCCCATGTCCTATCACTACATGCCCTTGTAAAAAGTCCGTCTCCAGCTTTCCTGTAGGCCCACTTTAGGTACTGGAAGACTGCTCTCTTCTCCAGTTGAACCTTCCAACTCTCTCAGCCTGTCCTCACAGGCTCCAGCCCCCTGAGCATCTTTGTGGCCTTCTCTGGACTCGCTCCAACAGGTCCATGTCCCTCTTATGTTGGGGGGCCCAGAGCTGAACCTCTCTGGGAAGAGGTATTGGGCTCTGAGACACATCTCCAGTCAAATGTCCCCAGGTGATGTAGATGGTCATGGTTCTCCTGGATAAGTTTTCTCAGGGACAAGGAGACTGATGCCCCAAGCATCTGTGAGTATCATCAGACTCAAAGCATTTTCCTTTTGGGATCATATTATTCTGGACCAGAAATGAAAAGCTGAACCATGCGTTCTCCATGCTGCTTTTCCTCATCTCTTCTGCACCCTTGATCATTAGCTGTGGGTTTGTCAGGGCCAGAACTATCCCCCACAGTGTGTTCATGCAGGTTTAGGCAATGAGGTCCCGGTGTTGGTTACACCCCTCAGCAGGAATCGAAATTCCTTTAAGCTGGAAACTACATGAATAAACCCTTAAATTGCAGCAGACCCTACACTGTTTTCCTGACTCCAACTACAGCAGTTAGCAGCCCTGTAATTGTCACTGTAATTGTAGGGGACTTGGAAACCCTGAGCCCTGCCAGAAACATAACTTAATCTTTTCTGAGATGTTGCTGTTTGGGACTGAGCAGGGGGATTTGCTCTTCTCATGGTGGCAGGAGACCAACTTTGAGCCCAGAGCTGATGGGGGGGGGGTCCAGGGTTTGCTGCACACTCCCACTGCGTAAACAAGAGCCCAGGTAAGGGCAGCGTGTAAGCTTGTTACAGGGGCTTAGTCACCAGATGGTCGAGCCGTTCCCAGGTAGATCTTAATTTTCATTAATATGCCATTAGTCTTATTTGTGTGCCCTGCTCACCTCTGGCTGTATCATCGTTTGTGTTTCCAGCTTAGCCTGTCCTTGGCATCGTGTTGCTGTCACTCCTCACCTCCCCAGCCAAAAACAAGTAGCAAGGGAGCTCGGATCACCTGGCTACAGCCATGCCAGTCTGCCTGGGGGTCGAGAGGGGTCCCAGATGTGGCACTGGGTCATGGTTCCAAGGCTATGGGGAGGGGTACTGGTCCCAGTGCAAGAACATGGCTCTGCTGTCCCCTTCCCAGTTGCAGGCACCAGGAGCCCTGGGTGATGTGCTGTGGGGTGCGAGGGGCTCTGCACCTGCAGGGACACAGGCTCCAGGGACAAACACCTCCTCCTCGCTTCCCTCACAGCTGAGATTGGGAGGTGACAAGCAGAGAGTGTAAAGCCATCATTAAAAATGAGTTAACCACATTGCCCCGAGAAGTGGTAGATGCCCCATCCTGGGAAACATTCACCATCAGGCTGGACAGGGCTCTGAGCAACCAGATCTAGTGGAAGATGTCCCTGCTCACTGCAGGGTGGTTGGACTAGATGATCTTTAAAGGTCCCTTCCAACCCAAACTATTCTGTGATTTTATGATTTGACAGCAAGAGATGCCAAAGGTTTCTATATCTTCTCCAGGTGCGGTCTCCTAGCATTACAAAAAAGCCGGGGAGCTCAGAGCCCCTGGAAGGGTATTTGTGAGCTTTGCAGCCTGTTGACGCGAGGACAGGCAGGTTACACAAAACACCTCAACCTGCCGCACAGGGGAGAGCGATTCGGGGCTGGGAACCTGCTGGGTTCATCTGTAGCATCTATCAAACTCCTTTAAAAAAACCAAAGCCTGGCAAAATCCCTCCTCCTGTGTCATTCTTTCTTAAATGTTTTCTGTCAGTACATTTTGTTCTTCATTTTCCTCGGTATGTACTGAAGTAGGAGATTTTATAATGATTCACAGTGTTCTGCCGAGCAGCTTCAAGCAGCAACCAGGGAGTCTGTTAAATAGGCATCCAGCCCAGAATATTTTGTACACTATCTAAATGCAGTGCTGTAATTAAAAGACATGCTTGAAATAAATGACAGAGGGCTTGGGGTTTGGGTTTTGGTTTTTATTTTTTTTTTCTCTCTCTTTTTTTTTTTACCCCCAAGGGAGATGGAAAGGGAGGGGGGGTTGAAGTTGCACTGAAGTATCAGAAGGCACAACAAGCATATTTGAACAAACAGTATCCGACAATGCGGGCCGACGCAATTACTTTCAAATGCTAGATGTTCGGTTATCACCCAGGGAACTTTCTGTCTGATTAAAAATAATTATTGCTGGCGTTAAATCTGTTTAGAATTACCCGGCGCAATTCATCTCCTATTGCACGCCACTACCATATGCCTGGTTTGTTGAGTGGAAAAATGTCTCTTTCATTCGGATAAATAATGCTTTGTAAATATTTAGAGATGAATGTTCTGGATCAGTGAGCGGCTATTTTTTTTCTGACGATAAATATGTGCAAATGAGCTTGGTTTTGGCGGCGGCTCCGTTTGAGGCAGTCACTATATGGGGCCAGATTAATCCCTACGTAACTGCACAGGGGCCATGCCAAGATGACACCACAGGGATAGCAGAAGGGTCATTTCTGCTGCTGAGCAAGTGGGGTGAAAGCAACTTTTTATAGATTTTAAATCTATGAAGAGCAGTATCTGCAATGCCTTCCAGCCAGCTGTGGCTGCAGGTACCTGGATGTTTGGCAAATGCCGTGAATTTCCCTTGTTCCCGCTGCCGAAGTCCCAGGAGGACCCATGGGACATGGGGAAGGGCACAAGAGCTGGATCCCACATTGTGCCTGGATCTGAGCCTGCTCCCCAGTGCCTCAAGGAGGGGGACACACAAACCTCTCGGTGTTCTCCAGACCCCCACCAGCCTGCCCACCACTGTCACAGGCTCGTGGGGCTGGATGGGACTGTGTGTTACTGCTCCCGAAACTGTGTGATGGCAAGGGAGCAGACACTTTGCATCTTTCCCCTTTTGCACATCAAAAGGTCTGTGAAGAAACCGCTCAGCCTGGTGCCAAAGAACATATTTGCTGAACACATATAACCACCAGTACAGCTGCTCTGGCTGGGTCTTGGTGATTCACGGAAAGGGAATACAGCAAGGGCTGTCCGAGGGTGCACAGACTATTTAAAGAAATATGGTTTCCACAGGTAAGGCTTTGTCCAGAGGCTTTAAACAGAATAAAATCTCTCCCGCCAGCAAGACAACGGGCTTGGGGGGGGGTGAGTTCATCCAGACACGTGCCTCCACTCCTGAGATGCCTCCCAAGGAGCGGGGGTCTTGGATAGCACATCCAAAAGCTTAATTTCTTTCTGTTGGGGCATGCATAGGAGAGGAGATACAAGTCCCAAGCCTGCCAGTCATCTGCACTGAGATCCTGCCACCTTGTCGTCTCTGTTTCCTCTTTCTTCCAGGTAAATTAAAACCAGCAGGAGATCTCAGTCCTGCCTGCCTAGGGTTGACTGTCTCAGTAAACACTCTTTGGATGTATTTGCTTTGCATTCGATTAAAACACGAAGGCAAACAACGGACATTAATGAATTCATTCGTTTATGATGACAATACGTTTTTGAGTCCTCCAATTGATTTGCCAGGCGAGCTGATAAAAAGAGCAAACCTTGCATTATTTACCACCCTGAGTCTAAATGTAACTTCTGAATCAACAGAGCTTGTTTGCTTTTTAAAATTCAAATGAGGATGACTACAATCTCCTTTCCAGGAGGGGTTTTACCCACCTCTCTCAGAAAGACGTACATGGCTTGAGGCCAGCCTGAAGGAACTGGTGTAACTCCTATTTTCCTGAGCTTCAGGGTCTGCCCTGATGCATACGGGGCAGGCACAGGGTCAAGTTGTGAAAACTCAAGACTAGAGCAAAAAAGGCTTTTGACAGTCAGCTGAGTCATCAACTCCTTGTGGTTAATTAGACATAGTTCCTAATTAAAGTCATTATTTACCTTGGAAAGCATGGAGACTGGGCTGCTCCAGCCACTGCTGGCTGCAGGGCTTGGGTTTGACATGTTTTCTAGGGATACTGAGAGGGAAGATGGGTGGGAAACTGAGGCACATGGTTCCTCTGGGTGCCTGGAGACAGAGGAAAAACCAGAAATTAAGAGAGAATGGTCACTGGGAGGATTGGTGTTACCTCTGGTGCTCCAAGATTTCCTCCACATGGTCCCATGTGCAGTGGCAGCTGTGAGATGGATGGGGATGAGCAGTGGGAGCCCGGCTGACTGTAGTTTGGATCAAAACCACCCCTGCGCAGGTTAATAAAAAAAATCACTTAAAAAGATGAGAATTAAAGAAATTATTTCCCCTCTCTTGAATATTGGAGCACACAGGCCATGCCTCTCCTTCATGTTCGCCCCGAGAGTGGATGGAACAAACCCATCCTCTGCTTTCTGCTTCAAAATGCAACAGCACGTTCAAGCCTTGACCAAAGAGGCCATTACAAAAGCAAGTCAAAGCCCTGATTTAAACCAGCTTGTTTAAATATTTTTGTGCTCTCTGTGGTTAGATTCCAGACTTTTACTCCCTGATTACTTTAGCCTGGAAAAAAAAGCGTTGTCGGAGGGTGGAAAGAAAGGCCTGATTCATTGATGAGGGCACGGCACTGCTGAGCACAGGGTACTACAGTTTCCCCAGGAATGCTTTTGGGTCTTAAAATGCCCTGTAGTAAATAAAAGCTACCAAAGATGGCCAAGGAGCGGGGGAGATAATTTTGCCCGACCTAACGAATTGCAGCATGCTGTTTGGGTGAGCAGTGTTCGGGGGATGCTCCTTGGCCGTGATTAGCAATCAGTTGTGGTTACTAATGAACATCCTGGGCTTTCAGCACTGTCAAATTATTTTTGTTCAGGATCCTGAATGGACTTTTGGTTTCCTGAGCACCCCCTTCCCCACGTGCCCATGGCAAGGTGTCGGGAGAACACTTCCCATCTTGTCTCTCCCTCTGAAGTGATGGCTGCAGGAGGGAAGTTGGGGCTCTGGGGCTGTGCTTGCTCCATGATCAGCTCTAGCTTCACCCACAAATTATTTATGGTCATTACTGGCTTCCTGCTGCAGCCAGTTCCTTAGGGTCTTCGAGGCATCTGGTGCCACAGAGATGCTAAATGAGCAAAAATCACCCAATGTGCTCACCTTGATGCCCAGACCCATATTTTCTTGTTTTTCCTGCAGCCAGGGATATGCTTGCAGGAATCCCTTCAAAAGTCATAAACTTTGATGGCCAGGGAAGAGACTGGAGAGATCTCCTCCATTCCCTACACCTGACAAGCACTTGTGTCCTTCTCCCCTTTCCTTGGTGACACTGGGCCTGACTGAAATCCCATCATGGCCATGAGCAACTCTCCAGGGCCATGGACCAAGCACAGGATCAATGTTTTTTTGCAGAAGATGATTTTTAGGATGAAGGAGGCAGCTGACGGCAGTGCGCGCTCTTTCCAAACAAAGATAAACAAGGGTGCCCCAAATAACTCCGTTCTTGCTGGCAAGGGGTATTTTTAACTAGCAAAGCGACACAAAAATAACACAGACGGCTGGAAAAAAAAAGGAACGGCTGCTAAGCTGGGAGAGGAGCTTGCTGTGTTTCATGGGGAAAGCAAGAAGCATCTTTTCTGCAGCCCTCTCCCAGCTCTTCATTAGCCATGCTATTCCCAGGAGGTGCTGCCCATGGTGTTTTCACAAACCTGGCGGGTGTTTTTAAATGGCTGCTATAAAGTAATCAAGGTTGAAAGGTCAGGCTTGGGTAAAAACAGCTCCCCAGAGCCTGCTTTTATACTCTGGCCATGCCCTGAACCAAGAAAGAATTGGTCAACTTTATGGGTCCATTCACCCAGAGATACCTTGGACATCTGGATGTTCTGGCTAATGTTGTCAGAAGGCAGAAAATACAGCTCTGACTCAGTGCCATGCCAAGAAATTACCTTTTTGCAATATATCTGCCTACAGCCTGCCTTCCCCACCATGCAGCAGAACCAAGGCTCTCCTGGACCATGCTGGAAGAGGGGCTGAGCCTGCCTGTGGCAGAGAGAAGGCTCTGGTGTATCCTTTAGGGTGACCAGGGTTTTCTAGCTGTGATAAAAGCCTTCATGGCTTTAGGGTAATTTAGGTACATGCCTATCAGCTGGCTTTTCCCTTAATAAAGAGCAGGAAGTGAGCTGGGGTAAGGATGGGATGTGCAGCACGTGGGGGAAGTTTTGGGAAGAAGGTTAGACCCCTAGGCTACACGAGGCATGCGGAGGCTGCCAGAGATGTTACATATCCAGGTGGAAAAGCAGCCGTATCCCCATGCAGGTACACGCACACACATGCATATGGGAAATTAAGCCTCTCTCATGCTTGTCAGTGCTTCACTTGGAGAGAGCAGTCAGGAAAAAAAGAGCAGTTATGGAGGAAAATCATGGCCCGTGCTCATATAGCAGCCCTGTCTCACCGGCCCCACGGTTGCCGTGATGTGAGTCAGCTGCTTCCCTCCGCCTTCCTCTCCAGGATGAGTAATTCAGCTGTGATAACCTTTAACAGGCCTGGGGACTGTCACAGCTTCTTATTTAAATGCAGCTTTGTGTTTTATTAGCAGAGCCCAGGATGGAGACAAAGTGCCGGGGTGGGAAATATGGAGGTGTCAGAGGGGGGTTCGAAGGAGACCCCCCCCTGGAAGAAATGCATTCGGTTCCTATAGCAGCATCTGCATTCAGTGGGGAGGGAGGCCCGTAACTCAGCCTTGCTGAAATTGCAGCAACTTCCAGTAAATCTTATTTGTGTTTTAATGCTTAAAAGCTCCAGCAGCTCTGAGAGCCCTTGCCGCAGCGTTGCAGCACCTGGAGCGAGTCTTTGCTGAGCTGATCCTTGCAGCGCGGAGGCTGTGCCTGGAAGGGGAGGTCTGGCTGCAGCCTGTCCCCAGAGCAACCCGGTGGCGGCAGCAATTCAGGCGTGCACCAAAATGCACACTTCTGACTCAAAACTAGTCCTTGGGCTTGCTTAGGCTGTGGAGTCTTGGCAGTGCAGGTTGCTTTCTGGCTCCTTTCATTTGGAGAGGTGAGTCCTGGCCCATGAGTGGGACATTTTGGGTTACTGGGGTGCAAATAATGACCCCAAGCACTATGGACTGGGTCTGGCGGGTGCTGAGATTTCCCTGAGCGGGTCCTGCACGGCAGGCAAGGATAGAGAAACTCTTGCTATGCTCTCTCCCTTTTTGACTCTTACATAAAGTATCTATACCTCATAACTGATGTGCCATAATTGCACTCAGGTTGGTGAATCAGAGAGTCAAGCAATTTACGTCAAGGTTTCCCCCCCCTTGCAAATTATAATGTGCTATATTCTCATTATAGGATTATGATTATGTCATTTTGGGTGGTGGCAGTTCTTTAAAGTTTTCTGTGATGGTTTCTTTGCCTGTCCAGAGGCAAAGGCGGGTGGCGAAGTCATGAGAACAGAGAGGGCTGTGTGGCCACCTGAAAGGAGATGGCTTTTGGAGGTCAGGATGAAAGGAGCTGCTGTGTGTGCATGTCTGCTGCCTAGCATGGGAAAGGCATGATGGTCAGGAGGGCTCATCATGTGTCAGCTCTGAGCACAATTACTGCCCTTTGATTTGGGACCGAGGGGGTTGTTTGATCCCCTGGGGTAATGCTCAGCCCTGTTTTGGCCATCCTATAGACCAGGGGTGCTTCAGGCTGTGAAGTCACGGGGCTCTGCAGAAGTGTGTGATCATTCAAGGCAGTGCAAGGCCTTCATTGCGGTCCTCTCTCTGCACAAAGGGCCTAGAAAGATGCTGGTGGGGATGCTGACCGTGAAAAAGCAGATGCAAAGAGAGAAGGAGAAGACAATAGCCACAGGTGAGCCATTTTAAAACCACTCCTGCTCCTAAGTGACTTGCACATGCTGGTCGTGTTGTGGCTCCCACATATGTTATAGGTCCTGTACCGCAAGGGACTGTCCCCAAAGATGATGGGTACATGTGAACTGTGTTTCTTGGCCAGTGGCTGGGTGACTCCCCAGCAACTCTCGCTGCCCACAAGCTGTCCTGGTTAGGGTGAATAACACAGGTGCTATCTCATACATTAAAAGATAAAAAGCCTTTTGGGTACCTGGGCAACCAGTTGCCCAGAGTTTCTTACCTAACTCTGTTCCTCCACTACGTGCAGAACAGCCCTGTATGGGTTATTTAAACGTAAAGTTCATTTGTCGTGGGTACTGAGCAGTTTCAAAATATGAAAACTCAAAACGCCAATGTGAAATTAATAATAATAATAATAATAATAATAAAAAAGGCAGTGCTTTCTGTCATCTGTTTTTTTCAGCGTCAGTCTCAAGATTTTGGAGGGCTTAGTCTGTACTTGAACAATTGCAATTGGTAAGACTGGATTTGAAGGACTATTATCTGCATATTAAATCTCTGGTAATCAGTTATGTGTCATCTGTATGAAAATTGAAGCCACCTTCTCCCTCAGATCTCCTGCTAATAGTGTTGTTTTAATTTGGGTTTGTTAATGGGCTGTGTAATTTAAGGACAAGGCCCTGTGTTTGAAGCATTCCTAATCACTTCATGTCACTCATCAGTGTTAAGGACTGTCCTGTCTTCGCAGAAGGAAGCAGCTGGAAAAAACAGAGGTCTCCAGAACCAAACTGTAGGTGATGTCTCCATCTCAAAGAAAGGGTTATATATGTGTACATTTGAGGGCTGAAGAAACCAGAGGTCTGCGCATGTTTGTGAAGATGCAGCACGTCTTTGGGAAAGTCTGTCTCCTTGCTGGAACAGCCCTCAAAACTCATGGTGTTGGGGTAAAGAGTTGGGACAAGGGATCAAGTTAGTCACGTCCAGTTTGGCAGCTGATGCTCCAGCTAGGACTTCTTCTCCAGAGATGTTGTCATCTGGGCTTTTCCTCCCAGTGCCTCCCTGATGGTCTGCTGGGCTTCTTGAGCAGCAGAAGGAGGAGAAGGAGGAGATGGAGGAGGAAGAAGAGGAGAAGGAGGAGAGTGCTTGCTCTTCTGGGGATTTTACAGCACCTGTGCCTGCTCCTTGAGCTTCCTACCACATCCTTCTCTGTAGAAGGATCTCACTCTCCGTGCTGCTGTCTGGTCTCATTCTTCCCCCATGGCTCCTACCTCACTCTTGGAAGAGAGGTCCTGCATCTCCTACAGCTTTAATTCATCCACCTCTCACTGTGCAAGACACAAGAGCAAAGTTAAGCACATGCACTTATCTCTGCTAATTTACGGTCCAGCTTGGGAACTCCATGGCTTCTGGATGTTGCTGGGTGGCTTTGCAAGCAAAATAAATAACATCCCTACAGGATTCAGGCTGATAGCTTTATTTTAGGTGTTTTTCCCAAGGGGGAAATTTAGAATCTACCCTTTAATTCTTTGCTGATACCTGTTCCTTCTGAAAAATGTTGTTCAACTGAGCCATAGGAAGAAGAAATATGTCTAGTTGCAGAGTCAGTTCCCACCGCTTGGGATTTATGGCACAGACAACGTCACTCCATCAGGACGTAGCTGCTGTGGGCACCTCGCCAGAGAGGTAGGAAGTTGCATTTATCCTGTTGTGTTCATGCAGAACAGGTACCTTCACGATAAATCCAGTGCCAGTGCCTCACTGGAGGATTTTGTTTCTGTGGTAGGAGGAATCTCATTAACACAAACTTCAGAGGAATCCAGCACTGCCAGCCAGAAGACAAATGCAGCAGTGCTGTCGTCATTTATCAACTGGAGAATGACCTTTGCTATCCATTAGGATGAAATGAAAAGCTTTGGGCTTTAACTTTGTTAAAATACACATGGCTGTCTTTTCAGATTTTTGGAGTCGGCGCATTGCTGAGATTAATCAAATTGTGCATTTTGTTGGTGCTTAAACAGTATTGTTATATAATTCAATCTCTGCGTGACTTCAAGACAGCAGGCAGAAGAATTACACTGAGCCTGGTCACAAAATCATCCTGCTGCGGTCAGTGGCTGAGGAGGCAGAAGGAGTTTGGAGCCAAGTGCCAAGCTAATGTTTTTAAATCTTATCACTTGGATTCAAGTTACTTTTGGTCAGAATTAAATACGTGTGTCTATAAAGCTGTGTGTGTGCTTGGGAGAGCTCAACTGAAGGAAATGGGTGCAGCTCGCTCTGGTCTGCTATAAATGTCCCCGTGGGAAGTGGGTGTAGGGATGGGGTTTTTCTTGTATTTCACTTTGAAAAATGCTGATGTCCCAAGGAAATGTGGCCATGCTGAAAAGAGGGAGAAGGCTGCATTGGCCTGCTGGCACTGGCCATCAGAGAGGGGGCCCACAGAGGGAAGCAGGGCGGTGGGTGGGTGTCTGTGCCTCTCTGCTTCTTCCCCTCCCAGGGGTGGCTGGGCAAGGGGCTGGCACGGCAGTGCAGAGCACTCTGAAAATTCCTCTTTCCACCAGCTATTTAAGCAAGAGGCCTCAGGACATAGGTGCCTCCTCTTTGCTCACATCTTGTCTCCAACAGCCATCTACCAACACAAGTTTGGCTGTTTCCTAGGATGGCTGTCCATGTCCAAAGCGTGGCAATGGCTCAATGTCCAAATGGAGATCATCGGGTGGTGTCCCTCAAGGGACCGGTGTTGTTCGATATCTTTATTAATGACATAGACAGTGGGATTGAGTGCACCCTCGCCAAGTCTGAGGATGACACCAAGCTGAGTGGTGCAGTCGATCCATGTGAGGAAAGGGACCATCCAGAGGGACCTTGACAGGCTTGAGGAGTGGGCCCACGTGAACCTCATGAAGTTCAGCAAAGCCAAGTACAAGGTTCTGCACCTGGACTGAGGCAATCCCCAGTATCAGTACAGACTGGGGGATAAATGGGTTGAGAACAGCCCTGCAGAGAAGGACTTAGGAGTACCGCTGGACAAAAAAATTGGACATGAGCTGACAATGTGGAACTTGTAGCTCAGAAAGCCAACCATATCCCTGGCTGCATCAAAGGAAGCGTGGCCAGCAGGTCAAGGAAGGTGATTCTACCCCTCTGCTCTGTTTGGTGAGACCCCAGCTGGTGTACTGTGTCCAGTCCTCGGTATGAGAAATACATGGACCTGTTGGAGCAGGTCCAGAGGAGGCCTTGAATATGATCAGGGGCTGGAACACCTCTCCAGTGAGGGCAGGCTGAGACAGTTGGGGTTGTTTAAGCCTGCAAAAGAGAAGGCTCCAGGGAGACTTTATTGAGGACTTTCTATACATAAAAAGGCTTATAAAAAAGATGAAGAGAAAGTTTTTACCAAAGCTTGTAGTGATAGGACTAGGGGTAATGGTTCTGAACTAAAAGAGCTTAGATTTAGATCAGATATAAGGAATACATTTTTTATGATGAGGGTGGTGAGGAACAGGTTGCCTAGAGAAGTCATGGATGTCCCATCATTGGAAGATTTGAAGGTCACATTGCTTTGAGCAACCTGGTCTAGTGAAATATGTCTCTACCCATGGCAGGGGGTTGGAATTATATGATCTTTAAAGGTCCCTCACAACCCAAACTGTTCTACTATTCCAACGCCTCACAAATCCTCCTGAGCTTTTTGGCCACCATCGCATGTAGCCTGTACCTAACGGCTCCTTGTGTGTGTCTGGCAGCACTTCCCCATCCTTTCTCCCCACAGGCTCTCCTCTGCTTTTTTTCTGGTCACAGTGAAACCCACCTCCACCCTGGTAGTTGTGTGGGCTGATAATCTGGGACCATCTATGGCCAGGACAACTCTTGGTGTTGTCACACCAAAGATGAATATATTGTTCTGCTCCAGTATTTCTGTTTTCCTGACAGTTCATAAGGTGAAGACAGTTCTGCTGAGCAAGGCAGGAAAGGCAATAAAGTGGGGGCTGAAACCTTCTTGTCTTCACCCAAGAGCTGCACCCAGCTCTGCCTGTCTGGGTTTTCAGCCACTGCTGCTTCCTGGGAAGTCGGTTTCTGCCGTGAAACCAAGTCCCATTCCCAGCTGACTTGAGCAAAGGCAGAACAGGCTTGGAGCAAACAAAACAAACCCCCAAAGTCCATGCAGCTGTGCGAATTAGGTCTGGTGAAATCAATTTGAGGTCTCACCTTACAGGCTTCTTCATATGGTGGAAATGAAAAAATATGTTTGGGTCTCCTCCGGTTAGAAAAACTACTGTGTTTATAGGTTACAACCCAATCTGTATTTATTTCAGTGTAGGTCTGTGCAGATGCTTTATGTAAGCCTAAAAATATATGTTTTTCTTCTTAATGTATCTGCTTACATACAAACATAAATTAAATACAGTTTAGAGCATATGATTTAACAGGGTCTCGTACTGAAACAATGGCAAGCTTTGTGTTCCAGCTGGTGTAGCTCAGCTTGCAGATAAGATCGTAATACTTTTGCATATAGACAAGCCCATAAGCAACACATATATAATTGTAGTTTCAATGCAAAAATCAAGAAAAGGCAATGACCGTGAGTGTTGGAGCCTTGTAAATCAACTGAGCACCATCGGCTGGTCTGACAATAGCTGGACAAAGAGTGGCCAATACCTCAGTGGAAATCAATCTGTTAATGGACAGGTTTCTTGTCTGTTCCCAGAGTTAATGCAAGTCTCTGCAAGAGAGAGGGTCTAAAATGATTACCTGCAAATACATCTTTGTCTGAGAAGGGTCTTTGAGAAGTGTCTCTTTATCTAAAGTTATGTGAACTTCCAGCGTGCCAGTGACATCGATGCAAATCACTTATAAAGTGGACTCAGTCCTGGATTTTTGTTATACAAATGTCATGGATATCAATATATATAATGTGGCATTTATTTCTGGATGCTTGTAGTAAGAAAGTTAGCATCATTCAATTACAACTCCATATGTAAAAGTCATTCCCACTGTGGACCGTGAATACCTGGAGGAGTTGTGTGGCACCAGATCCAGATGTCTTGCTCGGGCCTGGCTCTCCCCTGGGAGTGCCTCTGCTCTGAGAAACTGAGCTAGGAGGCTTAAATGAGGAACAAGAGACTAAATATTGACTCAGAAAATACAAAGATCCCATTTAGATGTAAATGGAAAAGGTGGGGGGGTGAAGAAAGAGGAAGGAAACAGAAATACATAAGTCTACAAGCAGAATTATCTCATTGCAGAATCCGTTTTCCAGACTTCCCTTGGTGAGTTATCGGCAACACTCCACATATTTGTGCAGCCGAATAGCTGCGAGGCACAAGTACATTCTCCAGTAGCAAATAATTCCCTTTCCTGATAACATCTTCAGCAGGGCTTGGCTGCAACGTGCAAGTGCAACGGCACAGATTTTGCTCTGAAGGTGGGGGGGTGGGGGGTGGCCCCAGCGTGCTGTTTGTCAGGCAGCTCAAATTCAGAGCAAAAGCCGTATGTGCACCCAGGAGGCTGTCAAAGGCACTGAGGTTTTTCCCGTGGGAGACAGGCACATGGGTGGCTGGAGGACCTTTAACCACCTGCCTTCACCCTTTCTACAGAGTTTGCATTCAAACACAAAGATGATAACCAAGAAGTGATGGGAGCGTTTTGGTTCTTAGCGGGTTGGTGCCCAGGTGCCAGCTCCAGACACAACACATTTTTAGGTGTGGAGACAGCTGGGGAAGAGACATGGGTCAGGGAAACATTATTTTTTTTCATCTCGCTTCCTGGTTGTGTTGTTAATCTGGGCTGCTCATCGTCTCCTCTAACAATATCAGCATTTGGATCTAAGATGTGTCAGGTGTTGGTGCTGCCAGAGCCAGGTCCAGACACTGGCCTTTCCCATGACCCCCCCAAGTCCAGCCTCACCCAGTTCACCTCAGCCAGGCCTGCCCACCCTCTCTGTGGCTGACTTTGATTATCTACAAGCAGACTGTAGCCATATCAACAATTAAAGCGCGCCATTGCAGATCTGAGCATGGATATCAGCTCTGGGCTGCTTCTGAGTTAAAGTAATGGGAAGGTCTACTGGGGAAACCCTGAGAATTTAACAGAGTAGCTTCTTCTTTGCCAGTAATGCAAGATGCACCTTGACGTGAAGTGTCAACACTTCAGCATTTGCAAAGCAGGGTCTGTCAGACCTCTCTGCACGAACGCTAATTGCTTATATGTGGCGAGGCTGTGCAGTCCAACAGACAGACCCAGACGACGACACTGGCCCTGTCTTTGACAGACAGGTTGTCCATCAGTGCCACCCATCCACCTTACTTTGCTCGGGGAGTTGTCACCCCTGGGTCTGCGAGTGTGTGGCTCC